GAATGTGTGTTGCAGAGATGGTATTCCAGGTCCCAGCCACGTGTCTCCCGCTGGGCATGGGCGACTGCCCATGCAGCCTGCCGGTCCTCTTTATTTTTCGATCTCTGCTTCTTAAGAACTCAACTGTGTACGTTGTTTCCCAAGCACAGGCCATTTGCTGGAAATGTTTCCTATGTAAATTGAGTTAGTTTTGTTCATCCTCATAAATATCTTCCAGGTTTTTAGGTAATGAGATTTCTGTTGGCTACAGCCAATGGAATAATAATTAGTCTTCACATAGAAACCAGAGTTAAGTCGTGGGTTTATTTTGGCCTTTTGGAAATTCAGTTTGGAAGTGTTGTTTTGCTATTTCAGGACGTTGTTTAGGGATACATCTGGAAACCTTGACAAGAATGCCAGATTCTCTGCTCTCTACAAGCAAGACAGCAATAAGCTCTCCAATGACGACATGCTCAAGTTCCTGGCGGACTTTCGGAAGTGAGTCTCCAGGCCTTGCTTCTTTCCACTTCTGAGAACTGAAGTTGATTGGTGGGGAGGTGAGGAGGGAGGAAGCAGGAGCAGTCTTTTAAATTGCTGCACTCAAACATCCCGGGGCGTGTTGGATGAGCATGGAACTTTACCTCAAGTCCTTGGGAAGGAAGAGAGAGTTTAAAATTGGAAGAGTAATCTAGTTGATTTAAATTCTGTAAAGGATGTTATTGGTGGTTCCGTTAAGGGTGGATTGAGGGTAGAGATGAACCTGGGGAAGAAGGAGGCAGTTGAGGAACCTTTGTAAGAAGTGGGAGGGGCTTCAGCAAAGCCACTACAAGTGGAAACAGGAAGAATGAAACTAATTCAAGTTATGTCAGAGAGGCCCAATTACTGGGTCTTGGTTTCCTGATTGGACATTAGGGTGGAAAGAGAAAAAAATGGTTGGTAGTCTCAGATAAATAAATCCAGGTTTCTGACGTACACAGTGGAGTGCTCCTGGTACTATTAACTAAATGGGTGATTTGGGTAGTGGGGGAGGGAGGATAACTTATATAGTACTTATTGTTTATAGTTCTAAATGCTTTATATCTATTAATGAGTGTATTAGTTTCCTATGGCTGCCATAACAAAGTACCACAAACTGGGTGACTTAAAACAGTGGAAGTTAGTTCTCACAATTCTGCAGCTGGAGTCCAAAATTAAGGTGCTGGCAGGGCCCACTCCCTCTGAGTTCTCCAGGGGAGGATCCTTCCTCGCTTCTTCCAGCCTCTTGTAGCCCCAGGCATTCCTTGGTTTGTGGCTGCATAACCCCAAACTCTGCCTCTGTCTTCTTTTACATGGCTGTCTTCCTGTGTGTCTGATTAATGTCCTTCCTCTTACAAGAATACGTCATATTGGCTCACCCTAGTGACCTCATCTTCACTTGATTACATCTGCAAATACTCCATTTCCAAATAAGGTCACAGTCACAGATACTAGGGTTAAGATTTAAACATATCTTTTTGGGAATACAACTCAGCCCATAACAATGTGATAAAGAGAGGTTGGGCAATGGTGGAAGTGAATCTGGCTGAGAATCTGAGGAGTTCATTTCTGAAATTATAAAAACTGATTTCCTTTGCTGGGCATCTTTTGGCCATAAGATTTTTTGACGGGAGGCAGGATGTTTGAAAAATCATTGATTTGCCTTCCTGACAAAGGAATCTTAAAAGCAGGAGTTAGGAACTTTTAAAAAATGGGGACAAAACCAAATGCTTCATCTGTCGACCAGTGAGCTTTGATGTTTCTTGGCGGTATCTAAACGACATTATTAAACAGGTGGCTTATGAAGAACCACAAAACTGTTCTGTTTTCTAGGAATAAGTCATGTCATGTCAAACTAGTCATTCTAATCACATTTCTGCTTCTCTCTTTAATTGGGCTGCTAAGCTGGTATGACAGGAATGCAAAGCCTTTGACAAGTGTATATCCCAAGATGTCCCATGAGCAAGTCAGGGAAGTATAGTACACTTGAATGGACAGATGTTCAACTGCTGGAGTAACCAGATGCCAAGAAGGGTGATGAATAGGCTAGTGTCAGTCTGGCGATGAGCATCGAGAGGGTTGAGAGGAACCTGTTCATTGCAATATTCTGTGCAGTATCTTCATCAATGACTTTTATAAGAGACTATAACATGCTGGTGAAACGTCTTCTCAACACAAAGCCGTGAGGAATATCTAATACATTAAATGTTAATACCTGGATTTAGGGGGGTTTTGATAAATTAGAAATTCCTCAAAATATATAAAGAAATGAAATTTCATCAAGATAAAAATCAAATCCTGTTCTTAGTTCCAAAAACATAATTGTATAAATCCGGAATGGAGAGATGTGGCATGATAGTAAAGCATGTGAACAAAGATTTAGGACTTTTAGGTGGTTGTAAATTTCATTTGAATCACTAGGTGTGGCTACCTAAAAGTAATAGCATCAATAGATGAGTGTATTGTTCAAAACCAGATAGCTATGGCCCTGGCTGGGTTGTTCAGTTGGTTAGAGCGTCATCCGATATGCCAAGTTTGCAGGTTCAATTCCCTGTCAGGGAACACACAAGAATAAACCGATGAGTGCACGAACCAGTGTTTCTCTCCCTCTCTTTCTCTGCTTCTCTCTCTCTCAAAATCAATCAATAAAAGATAAAGTAAAAACAGACAGCTATCCTACCCTCACTGCTCAGGCCATTGGGCCTGATCTATGCAGTTCTGGGTGCAACAATATAAATGGGACCTTCTTTGAGGAGAGAAGTGGCATTGGAGGAAGGTGCAGAAGGGCCGAGAATGGAAGACTTCCGAAGGCTGTTTCTAGATGGTTGAAAGGTGTTCCATAGGGAAGCATAACCAAGCCCCTTCGTGAGTGGAAGTTTCAGAGAGGTGCCTTTCCCTTGCTATGCGGAAGAGCAGTCTGAGTGCTGTAAGTTTCCTGCCACTAGGAAGGGTGAAGCAGTGCTTGTCAGGCACACTGTAGAGGAGATTCCTGTAATGGATAGAGTCAGACCAAATACAGACACCGTACATTTCATTGAGTACCTGCTTGGTACCCAGCGTTTTGCTAGACACCAGAGACTAAGATGACTTCTGCTTCTGAATTTTCATGATTCTAAATGAGCGAAGAATGTATGGTGAGGTTGGAATGGTTCAGGAAAACTTTAACATTTTGCTGATGTTCTTAACTAGACTTTTGCTGTCCAACTCAGTACCCACTTACCACATGTGTCTGTTTAGCACTTGAAAAATGGCAAGTCCAAACTGAAATGAGCTGTAATGGAAATACACATCTGATTTTGAATAATTCGAATGCACTTTTTATAGTGATTATGTATTTAAATATAATTATTTTGGACATAATGGGTTAAATAAATATATTCTTAAAACTAATTTTACTAGAAAGTTTAAAACTACTTTTGTGACTTGCGTTATATTTCTCTGGGAAGTGCCCTCTATAATTTAGGTTTTGGAGCTCATCTAACTTATAAATGTTTGATTTTTCTCTTCTTTGTTTGTAGACCTGAGAAGATGGCTAAGCTCCCAGTGATACTGGGCAATCTAGACATTACAATCGATAATGTTTCCTCAGACTTTCCCAGTGAGTGTAAGTTCTGTGTAATAAACAGACAAAATGTTGTTTGTTTGTTTTTTTACTTCAATTTGCTTGTTTTTAATTTTTCAGATTATGTCAATTCATCATACATTCCCACAAAGCAATTTGAAACCTGTACTAAAACTCCAATCATGTTTGAAGTAGAGGAATTTGTGCCCTGCCTAGCAAAATATACTCAGCCGTACACCACCTACAATAACCACCTTTATGTTTATCCCAAGTACTTGAAATATGACAGTCAGAAGTCTTTTGCCAAGGTGAGTATAAAGAATGAGGTTTCATTTTTGGTATTAAATTCTCTTGGGTTTTGGTTTCTCATGTTCTTTTGTAAATATTTATATATCCTGGCTTTTTGTCCCCTCCTCCCCTTTTTTTCTTTAAATATGCTGCAGGCCAGAAATATTGCTGTTTGCATTGAATTCAAAGATTCCGACGAAGAAGACTCTCAGCCTTTGAAGGTTTGTTTTTTTATATATATTCCCATTTTCCCCACTTTAATAATGCAGTTGCGTGCTATGGCACAACTAAAGGAATCGGGCACATTTTAATTGACACAAACACACAAATACATGGCATCACAACATATAACCACACATGCTGAACCTTACGGAATATGGAATAATTGAGTTCTTATTCCTACTTCACTATTTCTTTTTTGTTATACATTTTAGGGGTGAAGGGTTCTTATGCATGTTCAATTCAGTAAACACATTGGGCACCTGCTATGAGCCAGGCATTGTATGAATGCTAGGAATTATATTAGTAACATTGATAATATAAATAGTATTGATAATAATAATAGATTGACATTTATTAAATGTTTATTATAGTGTGATGATAATAATAGTAGTATATTATTGATGCTTACTGAGTGCTCATTATATTCCAGGCTCTGCTCTGAGAGCCTTATAGGTACTAAACCCCTGTAATTCTCATAACAGTCTTTTGAGTTCGGTACTATGAATATCTGCATTTTTTAAATGAGGAGATTAATGCACAGAATTTAAATAAATTACTTAGGGTCATACATTAGGGGAACTGACGTTCAAACCCAGGCAGTCTGTCCCCAGAGCCCAAATTCCTTACTGAAACTTTATGAAAATGACTTTGCAAGAGGGGGAGGAGACAAAGTTGCAGAGAACAATGGAGTTTAGTTTTTGCCCTCAAGAAGTTTTGTAGTTTGGTGGGAAAAGACAGTTATGGGAAAAAAAGCTCCTGGCATACAGAAGGTACTGAAAGGGTTCATTTTACAAAACTGAGTAATTAGAACAGAAAAATGCTGCAGGGACACAGAGGAAGGAGTTCCTCATTTCTGGAAGGATGCATGAGGGTTTGCTTGGGGCACAGAGAAGGGGAGATCCCTGGGAGAGAGGATGGCATAGCAGAGGCGCGGCAGTGGGAAAGGGAGCCATGAGCAAGGTCTGGCTCCGAGATAGCTCAGTGGGTGGGAGGGGAGCTGGAGGGAGAGTTGGGCCCAGGACTAAAGGGGCTTGTGGGTCTGGAGTCTCACAGGCAGAAGAAATCCATCGGAGAGGGCTAAGCTTTGCTGTGGGAGTGCTCTTTACAACACATCTGCGTTTGATTTCTTACTCTATTAATTGAATGCTGGTGTTTCCCTTGCTAACTCTGATTTCAGTGCATTTACGGCAGGCCTGGTGGGCCCGTGTTCACAAGAAGCGCCTTTGCTGCAGTTTTACACCATCATCAAAACCCAGAATTTTATGATGAGGTAAGATTTTCAAGGGAAAACCCCGTTTAACCGATTTTAAGGAAAACTCAAGTTCTTTGCTTAGTAAAGCAAAATTCAAGGGGAGGTGCATACTATACTGAAATGATAGTGATAGAACTAAATGTTGAATTATCTATTTTCCGTAATATTTTCTAATTATAAAAGTAATGTATTGTAAAAAATTAAAACTTGGAAAATGCAGATAATGTAGAAAAGAAAAACTTAAAAATCCCTCCTCTGTCACTACCACAATTAATAATTCTGATATAGTTTCTTTCAAATTCATACTTAAGTATAGTTACATCTGTTGGACCTTTCTTATTGTTGGGTTTCCTTATGTAAAATTATATGTAGGTCATTAAAACTACTATATGAATTCTACTGGTAAGTGTTCTACCCTGGTTTTTCACCATGCCTGGCTGGTGTTAAGTTAATGTAGTGGTTTCTCTCATGTGTTTTCCAGTTCCTTCTGGAATTTAAATATCGACTCTTCTAGTTTGAGTCAGTCATGTCTTAGTCTGTTTGTGCTGTTATAACGAAATACCACAGACTAACTGACTTATAAACAGCAAACATTTATAGCTTACAGTTCCGGAGGCTGGGAGTCCGAGGTCAGAGTGCCAGCATGTCAGTGTCGCAGGTTCTCAGGCGTATTCTCGCATGGTGGAAAGGGTCGGGAGCTCTGTGGGATCTCTTTTATATGAGAGCATTAATCCTACATATGAGGGCTCCACACTCATGACATCATCACCTCCAAAAGCCCCTATTAATACCATCGCCTTTGAGGGTTAGAACTTCAACATGTGAATTTGGGAAGGGGTTGCGGGTGGGGGGGGGGAGGGGACACAAACATTCAGCCCATAACAGTATAACATTGTATCAAGGATCCATTTCTTCCTTAGCACAATTTACAGTCTCAGATTTCTTTAACTACAAATGTTACTATTAGTTTGGAGACAAAATGCACCCTTAGGCATTGGGTGACACGTTGTGTGGCTGCTGTCATCAAGAAATGTTGTTGTTCTGGAATATTAGAAAAGTTGTTGTTTTGTTTTCCTTGCAGATTAAAATAGAATTGCCCACCCAGCTACATGAAAAGCACCACTTGTTGTTCACGTTTTTCCATGTCAGCTGTGATAATTCAAACAAAGGAAGCACGAAGAAGAAGGATGTTGTTGAAACACAAGGTTTGAAATTCCATTATCCCTTTGATTTTTGATAACTTAACATTCGGTTCTTAGATTTTATTTTGATATGAATTTGCATTCTTTTGCAAAGGAGTTTTTAGATGATGTTCGTGAAGGTAGCATTCCTGGTCTGTATATGTAAGTTTCTATAAAAGGTAACTTTAGAATTCTAATCCCAAAGCAGTCAATGTTCTACAGAGATTGTATTCAGGGTCTCTTCAATTTCTTAACCCTGATTGATATTAACGGTTCTTGAAGATCGGGTAATTTAGTAAGATTGGCTTTCTTTCATCAGTTTTCGTACACTTACAGTGAATCTGTTTTGTCCTTTGTTTCAACAGTTGGATATTCCTGGCTTCCTCTTCTGAAAGATGGAAGGGTGGTGACCAATGAGCAGCATGTTCCTGTCTCAGCCAATCTCCCATCTGGCTACCTTGGCTACCAGGAGCTTGGGATGGGCAGGGTATTGGAATTTAAGATTGATTTATCCCATTCCTTCACAAAACATTAAAGATCAGCTAAAGCAACAATGACACAAAAAAAGCACATAGTATTTTTCCCAGTCTTGGCATCTTGGTTTTCGTTATTCATTTTCAAGTAAACTTAGGCCATTGGGAAACGGTGATATTAACCGTGTCACAGTGTAGAATTTTAGTTTGGGCATTTTAGGATAAGCCCTGAAGTAGCAATGCCTCAGCAAGGACATGAAGACTTGGAGATATTGGACAAGGAAGAAAATCTCTGCGAACTAGCCGTGCTCAAATAAAGATGCATTCTTAGGGTCATGCAAATGGTTAGGAATTATCTTCCAACATAATGTAATAAGTCCAGTAAGCAAATATCTCATCCACATGGTAGCTCGTTCCGATTCATTAATGCCTGAATTGTCTCTGAGTCCTCCTATTGGTTTGTTGGTTTTGCAGTTTTTTTAAAGCCGTCTTAGATTATATGGACTTCAGTTTTATAAGATGCTCAGAAAAGGTTTTTGTTTCCTTTCATTTTTGAATGGCTTTTAATGTTTCTCTACATTTTAAATAGAGCCAAATGTGGGCCCATAGTGTGAACAGATAGTTAAAATATTCCAAAATAAGGTTAAATCATGGTTTATGGTTCCTAATCTGAACATGAGAAAAATGAAGGTTTCTGAAACTAAAACTAGGCACAAACAGATATTGACCCTTTGACTGTGCCAGGAGTACTTCCTGTCCTATTCGCTTTATCTGGTACCTTGTGCCATCACGTTCAGAGTCCTGAGCTCGAGTTTGGTTAAGTCGTTGGTGGAATAGGATTCTTTCCCTCTCAAATGGACAGTAATCCTTACAGCTGCAGCTCAACAGGAAAGATAACTTATAAAATCCAGGAAGAAGAACTTGGGGAAAGAAAGCGGGCAGGAATTAGTGTTGGTTTCATCCTGTTGTCAGCCAGGCATAGGCATGACTGTCGAGTCACCAGAGCTGTTGGGGCTTCCGCACCTCATCAGGGCCCTTACTCAGGATGGTGATTGAAGCCAAGATCGCTCATCTGTTGGGATATCTCCCTCCCCTCATGTTTTTCAGCACTGTGGTCCAGAAATTAAATGGGTCGATGGAAGCAAGCCACTGCTGAAAGTTTCAACTCATCTGGTTTCTACGGTGTATACTCAGGTGTGCGCTAGTCCGTTAAAATTAGCAATGATTGCTCCGTGAATGAGTTGGTGTAATTTTTTTTTCAAAACAGAAGTCTAATTGAAATGTTCTATGGATATATTTTTACTCTATAAGCCCTCTTTTGAAGAAAGGAAGTACAGATAAGGTGCTCATTGGTACTGAAATAAATGAGGAGTACAAGTAACATTTTTTAACAGTTTTACTCTTTTGTTGGAGGATCTTTGGAAACATTTTTTAAAATTTGTTTTCGTTTTTATCTGTTTGATATTTGCATTTTTATATGATCAGTTTTCATAGTCGAAATGAAACATGCATGCTGTAAGAAGCAAATACTTCTATTTCTATAGCAGATATGCTAATAAACTTTTTTTTTCCCTTCCCAGGATCAGCATTTGCATAATTTTTTCCAGTACTGTCAGAAAACTGAATCTGGAGCCCAAGCCCTAGGGAATGAACTTGTGAAGTACCTTAAGGTATCAGATGGCTTTCTTAGTGACCCTTTTTTAATGAGTTTGGAGTTGACTGGGTTTTCTCTTTGGGGGTGCTCTTCTCTAGGCACTCTCGCACCATCAGCTTCTGTATGGTTTGAGATAGTGCTAAGAAGGGCACTCAGAAATAGTGCTCCTCCTACCTTCATCCTAGTCCCACGCATACTTTTCTCCGGCCAGACCTAAATCACACTGTTCCCTGCATAGGAAACCCCTCACTTACAGAGGCCGCTCGTGTCGAGTACTCACTGGGCTCACAGCGCAGAATCAGGCATATAGAAGCAGTGACTGTAGTCTTACCATTAAGGAACTTCTGGTTCATTGTAGGAGATAACATAAGCTTCTAGAATGCATAGCGGGTGGGTTCAAAACAAAACAAAACAGATAATACATGCCAGCAACCCCAGCCTTGTGCAGGGCCAGGGACCCGCCCAGAGTCCTTGCCCATGGGAGCAGGCAGGGTTTCTCTAAGGGAGTTATATCCAGAACATGATTCTAAGGGAACATTTTTAAAAGGAAAGTAACTAAAAGGGCATTCTAGGCATGGGGACAAAATGTAAGAAAGGTGAGACCTGCAGAAGTTTGTTTGATTTAAGCAAAGAAATTGGACTGGGTAATCCTGAAATCACTGCTGTGCCCAATCACCTTTGGGCTGCCTCAGAGAAAGCCATGTGACTTGAAGAAGAACCTTTGTATAGGTTTTCTATTGGTTCTATAAGAAATTACCACAAACTTGGTGGCCTAGAATAGCACAAATTTATTATCTTACACTTCTGTAGGTCAGAGGTCTGGTATGAGCCTCCCTGGGCTGCAACCAAGGTGTTATTAATCGTGAGTTTCCTTTCTGGAAACTAGGGGTGAATCTGGGTTCTTACCCTAAATGCTGCCTTCATTCCTTGGCTTGTGGCCACTTCGTCCATCTCAAAGCCAACAGGTTGCACCACTGACCATTTTTCCTTAGACATATCTCCCCCGACTCTCCTCTTTTGCCTCCCTCTTCCACTTTTAAGGACCTCTGTGGTTACATCAGGCCCACCTGACTAAATCCAGGAGAGTCCCCCTATCTTAAGGCCAGCTGGTTAGCATTCTTAATTCCCTTTGCCATGTAACATGTTCACAGACATGGACTTCTTTGTCCCTTATCCTGCCTGCCACTGCCTCCCATTTGCTTTAGATGCACTTCTTCCATCCTTATTTGAAACTGAGTGAAAGCTGCTCAGTGAAAGTTGGTTTAATGTCCAAGGATAACTCGGACTTTGGTATTCCGTGCCTGTAGAGCCTGCACGCAATGGAAGGCCACGTGATGATCGCCTTCTTGCCCACCATCCTAAACCAGCTGTTCCGTGTCCTCACCAGAGCAACTCATGAGGAAGTCGCCGTCAACGTGACACGGTGAGAGAGGTGTAAGGTGGATGCTCTCCTTCCCCTTCGGTCTATCCACATCTGGAGCATAATCATACACCCGGATGCTAGTGTGTGTTAAACATTATATTGAAGGCATATGTAGAGGTCTCATCTAATTCTTTGTTTCCTGTGGTGCCAATAGCATCATCATTGTTCTACTGTGATAATAATGAAATGTTTCCATTTTCACATTACTATTCATTGCTTTATTCATTCCTATGGTGTGTAGGGTCATTATTCATGTGGTTGCCCAGTGCCATGAGGAAGAATTGGAGAGCCACTTGAGGTCATATGTTAAGGTATGTAAAATAAACTGTCCCAATCATTTAAATCTGTGGCTCTCCAATTTTCCTTCTAAGAACTTATTTTTTAAAAATCTAGTTATTTGGGGGGTATATTTGGGGATGAAACTTAATACCTCTGCTTTCTCTTCTGTATCACATAGCCAGTGCTCCCACCTAGATGAGGGGACGTCCAAAGAGGGCAGCCTTTCATTTATTTACTTAGTATCATTTTGTCAACTACATTTCTTCTTTTATGGGTGCTGCACATGATGTGGAAGTTTAAAGAAGAGTATTAACTCACTCCTAGCTAGGCCTCTGGCATGGCTTCTTGTCTTCATTTTTCTTTTTCCCGCCTAAAATTCGCAGGAATACTGCTTCTCCCAAGAGAGGAAGGTTAGCTCTCGCCTCCATTTACATGCTGGGATAAATATCAATAAGGTCTTCATTTATGGACAATATTCAGTAAACATGGTGGCTGCGATTGTTCTAAACAGTTGCACACGTTCCATTTAATCTTTGACAGTATGAATTTTAGCTGTGTGTTCATTTAAAAAGTGAAGTTTGGGTTGTTCAGGGAATCAGTTCCCCAGTGTCATGTGACACATTTCCTGAAGTCCTTAGGAGGTGGAGCTGTGGACTGGAGGACCACTGACCTGAGTCAGGTGATTCACATATTTAGGTGGGTCCCCGAAGACATCCTGAGCTCCCTCTTTCTGTCACATGACAGCAACCCTTCCCACCTTCTATTTCCACCTTCCTCTCCCACCCATGCGATTGGACCTGGGTCCCTTATCCTCCTCCTCTGGGGCCTCTTCAGCTTTCAGCTCAGCTTGGAGAACCAGTGCATTAAAGCATCTTTCCCTTTTCTTCAAAGTACGCGTACAAGGCTGAGCCGTATATCGCCGCCGAATATAAGACAGTGCATGAAGAACTGGCCAAGTCCATGACTGCAATTCTCAAGCCTTCTGCCGATTTTCTCACCAGCAACAAACTACTTAAGGTACGGTGGGAGGCCAGTGTGACTCTGCAGTATGGAAACTGATTAAGGAAACTTCAGACTCCTCAGCTAGATCAATTCACCCTTTTTGTGTACTTTTTGAGATGATCATCACCTCCTAAAAAGCAGTAACAGAGTTAGTTCTTCAGTACCTACTTTGCCCCTTGTACCGGTGCTCCTATTAAAGCTGCAAATTATTATTATTATACTCAAAGCTTCATGGCCTCGTAGGTATTAGTAAGTCCTATTTGAATAATTGGAGGACCGTGAGTTAGAGATTTTACAGGCAAGTGTCAGCAGGCGCTACTCAGCAAGAGGAAAGGTTGCGTATGTCATCGAGTGGTGCCTCTCTGTGGGCTGCTGAGCTCATGTACCCTGTTCCCTGGCGGGAGGGAGTCACTCATTGTCAGACATGTGAAAGCAGGAGAACACCTGCCAGAACCTCTGGCCCGGTAATAATTTGCCAAGAGGTTCAGCCGTGGTGTTTTGGTCCCATTTGATGTATGTCAGTGACTTTGCCGGCCTAAGAGAATGAACGTCTCTTCCAACTGGTGGTTTTGCTTACTGGAACCCTTCTTTTTCTTTCAGTACTCATGGTTTTTCTTCGATGTTTTGATAAAATCCATGGCTCAACACTTGATAGAGAACTCCAAGGTTAAGGTATGTCGCTCCATCGTGTGGTGGTTCTTAGGGAAGAGTATTTTTCATTGTGTTTGTGGCTAACATTTATTAAGCTTCCTGTGTGCTGCTTACAGTACTGCTCTAATTACTTTCCAGTGATAAAGCATTTTAGCTTTTTAACAATCCCAATGTGGATGAGGGGAGTATTAGTCTGACCCCTCATTTTACAGATGAAGAAACTCAGGCCTGGATGCTTGCATTACCTGCCCAAGGCCATACTACTGGTGGATGGAGGGAGCCAGGTTTTGAGATCACTCTGGCTCAGGCCCATAATCCTCAAGCACCGTGTTATTAAATCCTTTCCTTTGACTAGCTTAGAAATCTCCCAGTTTGTTGAAATGAGAATAGTAGTTTAAGCATTCATTTAAAATGCATTTACCTGGTGTTTCTTAAGTGTCTTGCACATCCTAGACATTTCTCAGGGATTTAGAAGCATGTCTGATGCTACTTCACGTCCTCTGTAGCCAATGAATGGACTCAGATAACATAGTCTCCCCGAGGCCTACCTCTCCGAGGTGCTGTGTGTGTGCCCGTAAGACTCTCTGGGTCTCCATGCTGTCCCAGGCTCACCTCTGGACTTTTGCCTGTCGAGGTATGACTGGTTGCTGCCTGTGTGAGCACAGATGAATTTTTTATTAAGTCCTAAGGCAGTAAGCACAGGTGGCATGCTGCAGAGCTCCTGAAATGCACAGTCTTGCAGTTGCTGTTGTGACTGTGAGTTCCTGCCACATCGTCGCAGAAGTGGGAGCTGGAGAGGTCTGGGTGAGAGCCCAAGGGGCTTATGCAGGGAGCAGCCATTGTGGTGCCAGGGAGTTTCTCTAAATGAATGTGGGGAGGAGGGCGGAGTCCCAGGCAGGGAGGGTCAGGATCTGGGCCATCTGGACTCCAGGAGGAAGCCTTGGGAAAGGCTGGTGGGTTTTGTCAGGCAGAAGGTTGGTGGTTGAGACCCTAAAGCTGTAGTTTCCTCTAGTAGTGCCGGTGTGGGTGCCTGACCAGATGGTTTCCTTTTAAATCCAGCTTTAGCACACAGGGAGATGCCAGATGGAGGTGGGCCCTGCCGAGTAACGCACCATCCGAATCATGCCAGGACAGCCTTCCAAGGAAAAACTCCAGCAGCCTGTCTGCTTGGCAGTGTGCTCTAGTACACATGCTTATACACGCGTGCACACACCCACGTGCACGCACACACGTAGGCAGGTCATTTGGATATATTAACTTTCTCTTTAAAATGTTGTCGTTAAATAAATAAATAAAAATAAAAATGTTGTCATATGCAGGATGGGCTTTAGGCCTATTTTAGTTTGCTCAGGCTGCCATTCTAACTACCACAGCCTGGGCAGCTTAAACGATAGAAATTTATTTTCTCACAATTCTGGAGGATGAAAGTTTGAGATCAAGATGTCTGTAGGTTTGGTTTCTTCTGAGTCCTCTCTTCTTGGCACGTGGATGACTTCCTGCATCTTTATACTATCCTTCTTCTGTGTTCTAATCTCCTTTCTTATAAGGACACCAGCTCTGCTAGAGCAAGGCCACTGAGTGACCTTGCTTAAACTTAATTACCTCTTTCAAGACTCTCTCTCCAAATTCCATCGTATTCTGAGGTGCAGGACATGAACATATGAGTTTTCAGGGAACACAGTTCAGTCCATAACAAGGTCCCACTAGATATTTTATTATTTTTTTGCTCTAAATCAATATAATCACTTCAGAAAGATTGATGAATTGTT